CCCCAAAACCCCAAAACCCCAAAACCCCAAAACCCCTTCTCTTTTGCTCAGAATTGAAAGATTTATTAGGAGATATCGCTAGAAGATCGATTTTCAGCAAAGATCAGCAGTTCTTTTTCTATATGAAGCTCTCCTAGTTGTCCATGCACCTTTTCAAGAGCTTCTTTAACTAATCTTTCCTTCTGGTTCAAAGAGTGGGAGAAATGAAGAACTTTGGGAATAATTGAGGGCTGAATTTTCTGGAGATTTTCAAGCACATGATGGTCGTTCACAGCTCCCTTTTCAATTAACTCCTGGTTCTGCTCCATGTTCATAATGAATAGATTAAGGAACTTCAATGGAATCTTTAGGTAAATTTCATCGGAATGGCTTTCTTCATCAATTGGGATAGTTTTTACTAGAATTTACGGAGAAAAATACTCTTTTTAATCCCTTTGAAGTTTAGTGAGTTTCAGTTTAGAATTCGGATATCTGGGCAAGGAAGGGCATCTAGAAGATTTAGATAAATTTTTTTACCTTCTACCACTCCTTTTGAAAATACACAACCTGAATAATTTTTGGTAAAGGTAGCATTTATAGCTTTAAAGACAAACAAATGCTCTGTTTTATTTTGACAATCAACTATTGAGAAAATAGCTTTTGGTATTTCTGATACATCTTTTGAAGACAAACTTATTGGAGAGGATTTCAAATCTCTTTTTCCTTTAATAAATGGCTTAAAATGAATTATATCTCACTCTTTCTGAGGTATTCCCCCTTCTATATTCATAAAACAAAAAAATTACCCAAATTTAAACAATAAGATTTCTGAGCTTTTTCATCAACCTGGCATAAAATTTGTAGAAAAAGAGCCAAAGGTGACACATATCTCCTCATCTGACTAAACTCATATCCAGTAAATCTAAACCATCAAAAATTCCTTACGAGAACAGAACTTTACTAGTCTTCTCAAGAAGACCTTTGAACTCAAACTTGTGCATGTCGACCAAGCTATCACTACGCAGCGGGCAATTGGCATAAGCCAGTTTTAGGTTAAGGAAATTACATTTTGTAGTGAAGGCCTAGAGGTAGAAGGAAGGGCTTACGGTCAGGAAGGAGGTTAGATCTGATTTTGAGGTTGTGTAGTAGTACATCATGTTGACCTCAAGTTTCTCTAAAAGTCACAGTGGTACTCACCTGGAGGAATTCTGGGAAGAAGATCTTCAGACATGACTTCAGTGAGAGGAGAGAGGGCAAATGTGGGCTTAGGGAAACAGAATCTGAAGATTACTTTAAGGTTTTGGAAAATTTGGTCAGATTCAAGGTGCCTAGGAGGGTGAAGGGTGGACGTACCGGAGGAGAATTTTGTGGTCGGTCGTTAGTTTATGGAGTTCGATGTTGATTTGCATGTCTCTGACTGTGGGTTAAGGGAGGATTACTGATGTTAGCGGTGTAGCCAGAATCTGTATCTCCGAGAATTGTGTTCACTTCGGAGTACTCTTTAAGTCTAGCAAGGAGTTGTACAAGTGTTGTGTAGACTTCTTCATGGTAGTAGCTTTTGTCACTGAGAAATTGGAACTCAAGGATGTAGTACATCATTCTTTTGAAACTTTTGAATTCTAAAAATATGATGAAGACTCGGACCTTCTGTCTTGAATTTATTTATAATTTTTATATGTAATTTGGATCTTTTTCTTGTTTTGTAGAAATCTGAAGAAAACCTCACTTTCGTCTTGAACTATTGAATTTGTATGTCTGCTGAATAATGACCATACATTCACTAAAAATATCTAAAAGACATACTGGCTTCATGACAGAGTCCGTAGTAACCTCCAATCAAGAGCATGATCTCAACTCTATAAGCGAATATAACAAACATTTTATTTGGCTTACCTTGGTTTGAACCTATTTTCCATTTGAAGATATATTTTATAAAATCTAGACGGGGTTTTGGGGTTTTGGGGTTTTGGGG